GAAACTAAAAGCAATCATTGAAAATTACCAATTATTTCATCAATACTTTTATGTTAAACAAGGAGAACAAAAGATTTTCTAACCATTTTTCTAACAAAAAAACAACATGATAATTGTTCATAATTTAAAAAAAATTCAATTCATTCTATTGCGATCTCATTATTTATCATGAAAAAAAAGTACATAAAAGCTTCGTTTCTTTTTTTTCCAAAAATACGTCTGTAAATAATAGTAAAACAGCCGATTTTCACTGTGATGAATAAAATCAAGAGAGACCTTTATTATTTATTTATATGTCGATGACAAAAATGAGAAACATGCATAAACTTGAGTCGCCACAAGTGTTTTTTTTCATTAGTGAAAAGATGCACCATTCCATTGGTGTATTAACGTTAAATCATCTTAAAAAGATGATTTAACTATTTTAACTTAACTCACGATTCGACTGGCTAATTCAGTTTTAATTCCTCGATTGTGTTTGACCCCTTAGGCCCCAAACAGACCGACTTAATTCAAAGTGAATTAACTAATGTAATTGGCGTTGTTAAGTAGAAACACCAATCATGTTTCTTAATTCACTTTGAATTAAGTCGATCTGTTTGGGGCCTTATCACAATGTTTATCAAGTAGTATATGTACTCTTTACATCACCTAACAGTTTGTTTAAAATAAGGGTCAAAATGTTTGCCGCTTAAAATATAGAGTAACAATGAGACATAAAAACTTGACCAACAAATTGTTAAATGTATCATTGCTTTATTTCTTTTTAGTAAAATTAAAAAAACAAATGCTATAAAATGTGAGGAGAGTCTGTGAGTGCATTTGGTCGAATCAAGAAATGTGTTAGACCAATGCATTTAAGTTTGGATCGATGAAATTGGGATCATCTTCTCCATACAAATTGGCAATAATTGGTATTACAATTCGTTCAAGTTCTTTCTTATGGTGTTTTAAGTCATCGACATCAGCATCTGGATTTGATTCAAGCCATTTGATTTATCCTTCAACGGCTGTTTCAATTGTTGTTTTGTCATCACTTGAGAGTTTTCCATCAAGTTTTTCTTTATCATTTAATTGAATTTTCAATGAATAAGCACATCTATAAAATAAATCAATTCATTAATTTTCTTATTCAAGAAAATGAGAAAAGAATAACTTACGATTCAAGTTCATTTTTGACATCAGCACGGTCTTTTATTTTCTTATCTTCACTTGCAAATTTTTCGGAACGTTTGATCATACGATTGATTTCATCTCGTGATGACCCAGGTCCAATAAAACGGCGTAATAACGATGTAAAACGTCGAAAAACGACGCCGTTTCCGACGGTCGAAATGATCGACCTGGGTCTTTTCGATAACTTTGAATGGTAGATGTTGAATATCTTGTTGAATACTTGAATCGCGAAATTTACGACCAATAAGTCGTTTAGTATCAAATACAGTATCTATATATGTAGATATATGTAATCGAAAAAAAATCGTCAATACGAAGAGAATTTACTTTCAGGATTGAATGTTAATTGATTTTCAGCAGCATCCCCAATTAATCGTTCATCATTAGTCATAAATGCAATATATAATTATGTAATTCGATTACCTTGATCATTAGCAATAATTTCTACTCGATTGTTTCTGAGCACACCAACGCAAGAATTTGTTGTTCCAAGATCAATACCAATAATCGCGTTCTATAACCTTTTTTTTTTAATGAAAATATGTATTATTAAATAAATCTTTACCTTTTCTTAATAACTTAGTTGTGTGTATATAAAAAAATTTTGCCGTCTTGAAATAAATCTCCTTTTGTATTGTTTCTTTATGTAATTGTTCTTTTACTTCTTCATCCAGGTTTATGGATACGATTATCCGTATTTTCACCGTAAATTTGCTTCATACGACATCATAAACGGACCGTATTTTCTCGGAAACATGGGCACAGTAATACGGCACCGTATACGAGGCCGTATTTTCACAGTATACGGCCGTATACGGGGCGTAATCTCATTAAGATAAGGCCGTGTTTCTGTGCCCGATATTACGGCCGTATACGGTCCGTTTATGCGTCGTAAGGTAACCGTAAACGGTCGTTTACGGACCGTATCGTTCGATCTGGGCAGATTCGAAAACTGAAGCATGACGATGTTCAAGTGCTGCTGTATCAAGATCTTGTTTTTTTTCGTTTACTATTATTTGTAATTTGTTCATCTATAATGGTTTATTTAATAATATATATTAAAAAATTTGTCTTACGTCGTTTTTGCTTTGATTTAATTCTTTTATCAAATATATTAACGACATCGTTTGATATTTGTCCTACAAAAATAATAGATATATATACATATCAATAGACAAACTGGACGGGAAAAATACTAGACTATGGAGAACACAAACATACAGAAAGAAAATTCAACTAGTCGCGGTGTGCATACGCCCAAGATAATTTATAAGAAAAAAGAAAATATATCTAAATCTTTCTCTTACCGTTGCTTGAATCAATATTCTCAACAATCAATGCTTTTTTCTTAAGTTTAAATGTCATAATTAATGCTACATACGAATCATTTTTATCGTAGTGTTTTACGAATATTTAATGTTGTTATTGTTTCATTTAAATCAATTGAATCAAATATAACGGAATTATTAATAGAATAAATAGATGAGTAAATCTTAAGTTGTACATGCTGCCCATGCACGTCCTAGTTTTTTTTAAATATATACATAAAATATTATTTATTGGATTTTTTTACCTGTTGGTGAAAATCGGACACAGATAACTAAAACTTTCTGGTTTAAAATATCAACTACTACAATCTCCTTTTCGTACACTTGGTAAACGAATATTTTTTCCATTTTCATCTTCGTCTTGACCCGTATCAATCAATGCCAAACTACCGAATTTCATCATTTTTCTTCAGTTCATATATTCCTTTAAAAGAAACAAATTTATATATATTTATTTCAAATCATATCTTACATTTAATCCATCAAAACTTTTATTACAAATTATTTTAAATCTTTTAACAAGAATTTGTTCATGAATATTATAAAGTGAAATATATTTCGATCGACCAGCAGCTAATAAATAACAAGTAATGTTCGTCGGTTCGACTCACTTGACCCTCGACTGTATCAGACAGAAGTATACAAGTCTCATCCATGGACACCCAGTTATGAAACAGCTGATAAAGGAAGAACTTATCACATATGTCGGATTGACTGAATTTTCATTCTGAAAAATTGAATTGGTTGAAAATTCAATATTAAAAGCACGAGAATCGAATACTTAGTCAACATTTTTTATGATGTTTCACCTTCCACTATGACAAAAACTTATTTTATTTCATATAACCGTTCCTACACTCGAGAAAAAATTTATTTTCTCAAAAAAACCTTTTCTCCTGAACCCAAAAAAATTCAATTCAAAATTTCGAGAAACTGACCTCAGATTCGGATTCTCCGACCTTGATTTATTTTCGTCAACCTTTATACGATATCGTTATTTTCCCAAAAAACCCTTTCCTCAACCTAAAAAATCAATTGAAAATTTCGAGAAACTGACTTCAGATTCGGATTCTCCGACCCCAATTTATTTTCGTCAACCTTTATAAAATATCATTATTTTCTCAAAAACCCTTTTCTTGACCCTAAAAACCCAATTCAAAATTTTGAGAAACTGACTTCAGATTCGGATTTCCCGGCCTCGATTGACTTTCGTCAACCTTTATGGAAAATTTTCTAAAGTGGAAGTTTTTTGACCCCGATGTTTTTTTGATCCCGATGCAGACACACACAAACTGTTTTTTTTTATATGACCCTACCTACAGTCGAGGGAATTATCATCAAGGGTATATGAAATACTTCGATTGGCTCTAAAAGAAAATTTCATATTTGAATTAAAAAATTCTTCCTTATCAATTTTACCTTCCAAATATTAGTTTTTTTTCTTCTATAACTTTATCTGTCTTTTTTCTTGTACAACCTAAATCATGTTTACCTTCAATTGATGCTGTCTGTCGATCAGTTTCAGGATAGAAAGAGTATTTGAGCATCAACTGTTGATACAGCAAGCTGTTTTCCATCATGACGTAAAGCACAACATAATGCTAAAGATAAAATATTGAATAAAAATTTTCAGAAAAAATTTTCGTGATTTCAAACCATCAGTTGATAAAAGAAATGTTTCTCTTGAACTTTGACTAACAAATACACTCCATGATCGTAATGTTTTATTCCATGAACAAATTGCTAATGCTGTTTCAGTAGTATATTTCGAGCAAATGTTAATGCACTAATTGGACCTTCTTGTTCACTAAGAATCTAAATTAAAAAAAAGTTTTTCTTCTGTTTATATAAAAATAAAAAATTTACACATCAAGTAATTTTTCATTTTTAATTGATGAAAAAAAAATATTATATATATTAAAACCATCGACACATACAACTTTACCGGCAGCATCCAATGCAATACATGGAAATTATACTGATGTTGGAGATGTATACGTTCGAAAATTTCAATACCTTAAAAAAAGAAAACTCTTCATAAGATCTAAGGAAATTTACAGACATTTAGAGATAGATTCGACCTTTACACTATTTATTCTAAGGGTGTTTATGACCGGAAGAAGATATCTGAACTCAATTCGCGATAATTCTTTTTCCCTTTCAGATCTCATAATCTAACCTCAAAAAGATCAAAAGTACGAACAGTTCCATCAAATGAACTTGATACAATAAATTGTCCATTGGATACAAATTCAAGGCCAGTTGCTGTAGATGCATGTTTAGAAAATATGACAATACAAAAGCCATTGGATGTATTCCATAATTTGATCTAGATTGAAAATTTTCGAATATTTGTTTTTAGAAACAAATTTAGTAAACTGTTTCATCATCATCACCACCACTTACTATATGTATTCCATCCGATAAATAAGCTAATTGAGCCATATTATTAAAATGTCCTTGTTGTTTAAGTACATATGTTTGACTTTGCCATTCTTATACAACAAGTTGACCAAGATTTTGACAAACTAATGCAATCCAATCACCTAATGGACTGAATAATACTGATGCTATCATTTGTTTTTGATCGTCAATACTATATTACAAACAGAATGTTGAATATTTTTAAAACAGAAAAGTAATTATTCAAACCTTAAAGAATGAATAATATTAAAATTAGGCATTTCATGAAGATAAAAATGTCCATTTGAAAATCCTGCTACTAACATATGTGTTTTTTGATGGTCAGCACAAAGAAGTAAAGCACCATGATCAGCACCTTCAAATGTTTCTTTATAGTTAAATCTATAGAATAGAATAAAAGCAATTTTTTTTAAACAAAAAATTGATTTATTTTTGTATTTTACTTTTTTATTCGTTTGAAAACAGCCATATCATGTTTAGTTCGATTTTTCAAAAGATATTCATCTAAACGTTTTTGTTTTTGCTAAAAGTTTAATTCGTTCTCGTTCAACAACATCATCTAATTCTTCATTATCATTATCATCATCATTTCTATCAACATGACCATTTGATGATGTCGGAATTTCTTGGTCATCATTTTCACCAAGTATACATGGTATTGATTCCATAGATGCTAAATCCATATCAGCAGCCTAATAATTGACTTTTGCATTTTTACAAATAGTCATTATCTATATTAGAAGAAAAACAATATCATTTGAAAAATAAAGGCAATTATGGATGTACATTCAATGAATCTTGTTCAAAAAAAGCGCCAACTATTTCACAAACATGACTGACTAATATAAATCGATGTAATTTATCTCGTAAAGGGACACTAAATATTTGAGTTATCATATCTGCACTAATAATAGCCAGAACACTATGAAACAAAAATGATTTCCTTTGGTTTTATTTTTATGAAAGAAAAATATAACATACAGAAAATCACTTGTCCAATTGATAAATATTGTTTTATCATGAAATGAACGAAGAATACATTTTAATGTAAACAAATTGAATTGGCGATCAGTACCGGGACAAGTATAGAATTCATATCGATTACTACGACAAACAGCTACAGATCTATAATATAAACGTTTTTCTTATGTCAAAAACTTATTGGTAAAAATTAAAGCTTGTTTAAATCTTAAATAAAATTTTCATTGACAATTCATCTACACTATTAAAATAAATTCGAAACGGACAAATAATATTAGTCACTTCTTTATTAAAAGATTTTTTTTAAGTATTATGAAACAGATTTATAATGTCTAAATCGTCAATATTATATTTACTTGGAATCAGGACTGAATTTGATTGTATGCACATCATGTCCAAAACGATGAATACCAATCAATGTACGACATTTGACATTATATAAATATCCTCGACCAGCTATGAAAAAATACATGAAAGATTTTGAAATTAAAATAATCTAACTCTTACTCTCGTTAATAATAAGTAAAAGTGCATCATTAGATGCGAGAGTTGAACAAATAGTATTAAATTCACTTTCAAATGATAATGTTTCTGATCGACCACTAAAATAAAATATGGATTTTGATCAACAATGAATCAGATACAATATATTTTTAAATCAATCACATTCACTCGATTACCAACTGATGTGGTAAGTGCATTTCTATCTGGTATAAAGAGAAGATTACTCTTGTAACAGATAGTAACAAGACGAGTTGAGAATTAAAATATAAATAATGGAAGAGAAACAATTGAAAAACAAAACAAATATTTTTTTTCTTTATAATAATATAACTTCATTTCAATTAGAATTATTGCACAAATAGAATCGGATAATGATCTAAAATAGAAAGAAAATTGAAAACTCGGTTATTAAAAAGAATCTATATCTATACAAGAATTTATGAATACATCTTAATGAATTTGTTAGTTGAACAACAAGTAAATTTCTTTCGAAATGAAAATATTTTCATGATCGAAAATACAAATTATATTGAGTGTCGAATTAGTTTGATTAATTACAATAAAATGTTGAATTTATTGTTAGCGTCAAATAGGTTCTTTCTTTTCTTGACAAATAATAAACTCATATTGAACATAATTCTTCATCAGATATATCTTTGTCAGATGTATTAAGATACATCGATAATGCTAATGACTAAAACGAAAATCTGATTTAAATATAAAAATCATATTTTAAAGATATTTCTCTTGAGAAACTACGGTAGACCATGAGAGAATACTTCTTACATTTATCTTCTATGAAGTCCAAAGCAGACCTTAGACTCACAGAGGACCGTTTTCAATCATCCAGACTTCCAATTTTTTGCTATTCGAAAAACACATAATTCGTTCACTCTGAATAAAATATATAAATGAGGTCAAAATTATTTGAGAAGAATTGGTCAATCAGCTTATTTGAATAGAAGCTGGCGACCAGCTCATGAGCTTGATCTATCACTACCCTATCCGATATGAATCCTCAACTTTATTTCCCAATGGAATTATAAATAAGAACTATTTTAATTGACTTGATTTGATGATTTGTTTAATTTTATTTAAACAATACGACAAATATTCTAAAAAAAACTTAAGCTGAGTTATATTTTCGGGAGGAAAAAACGAAAGCATATTATATCATATCACAGTAACATATATTGGTATGAAGATCATTCAATAGTTTATCAAATAAATAATCAATTTATGAAGTAAAATTTGGTGATAAAATTTCTCTAAGATAAACATCTGGTGCACAAATTCGACAAAATTCATCTTGAAAATGAATTTTCATATCACCATTTTCATCGAATGTTTCAATAAATCTATTTATATATGTTAATATATTATTTTTTTAAACGATCATTATTTGCTTCACCACGAATTGAAAGAATTATTTTTAATAAAAAAAATCAAACAACAATGTCAAATATTAAGAGGTCAAAATCAGAAATTCGATTCAAACTGGAATTCATATAACTCATAAAAAGAACTTACATATTGTTGTACACGAAATAAATCAATAATAGCTGTTCCTTGCATAAGTGCATCACTTATTGATGGATAATTTTCAATAAGAAATGATGTATCACCAGCATAATTATATTCTAAAATAAAATTTAAAGAATTATTTTAAAAAAATAACTACAAATAAAACAAACTTAAAAGTATAAAATCTCGTGAACAAAAAAGTTGTTGAGCAAAATCAGCTAATGATTTAATATTAAATTGTAAACGTAATGCAAGCATATCAAATATTCCATATAAAGATTGATGATGTATTTGATAATAAACTTGCTAATTGTACAATTGAAATTATTTGAGAATTAAGTGTTCGTTGTGTTGGATTCATAAATGTTTCACAATCAAAATCAACAAATGGTAAATGTGAACCAACATCACAACGAGAATCACTTAGAAAATAAAAAATATTAGAAAAATAAAATATTTTCTAGATAAACAAAACTTCTAATCAATTTAAAAATGAATCAACATCGAAATCAAGTTCAATATAAAAAAATATCTGATGAAAAAATTGTTAGTTTATAAATATTTTCTTCAGATTGTTTTCATAACCAAATTGATGGTTTAATTAACATAGGTTGACTTCTTTGTTTACCATTAATAATTTCTTGACGCCGAAGATTTACTTGTTCAGGTATTTCAAAATCTTTAAGATTATAATAACGTGCCCATTCAACAGCTGAATCAATATCAGTATAATCAACAAATAAATCAACTGATTTTATTTGTAAATCATGATTATTTTGTATTAATTCCTTGCAAAAAAAAACAAAATCAAAATATTATTCGATATTCAATATTTGTCTAGAAAATATACTTTAATTTGTGCATTCCATGATTGATCATTTTCATCATGATCATTAGTTTTTCTTTCTAAATATTTTCTAACAAAAAGAGTTTTAAGAAAACTTATCTTTTCTTGTGTTGATAAATTAGAAAAATCATGTAAATTAAAATTATATTGTTTAATAAATTTTCTTGCAGCACGTTTTAAACTATATCTATCAATATAATGTGCACATATATTTATTGAACATTGTGCAAATAAACGACGAACAATTGTTCTAAATAATAGTAAAAAAAACCAAGCAAGTACAAATTCTGATGAAAAATAATGATTTTGTATTCTTACTTATCTGTTGAAATAAGTTCATCAATTATTTGAAGTATTTTATCATCTTCAACAAGAAATCTAACAGTTTCCCATTGTGATTTAAGTATAAGTGGTAAAATAATCTATTTAAATAAAAATTAATTTTTCTGTATTTTGAATAATTCATTAAAAAGAAAAATCTTTTCAAATGATATTGAATTTATTTGTAAAAGTTTGAAAATTTTCGTCATATGTGATATAAATATCATATCTTGATGTTGTTCGATTTGTTCATTTCGAAATTCAATAACTATTTTTTGATTATCAACGGAATTTAAATCAAATATATTAATTATTGATTCTAATTGACTAAATATACATTGACGACAAATTGAGAGTGAGGGTGAGTTCAAAGAAATAAATGAGCTACCACGACTAGTTTCGATCTTGAGTGTGAGTTCAAGGTAATATAAGCAACCACGAGCGGTTTAGAAGAATAATTTCAAGCTACTTACGACGCGTTTCGTCCTTGCTTAAGGGACTCGTCAGATGGCTTAGATCTCTAATTCGATTCAAAAGAGAATCTTGAGAGTGTGGTGTGGGTGTGTGTGTAAGTGTTGATATTGTTTCCATACCCACCCACACCCAAACCCCACACCCTTTCCATTATTGAACATAACCAATAAAATAAACAAAACCTTCATTTGCACACTACTTCTTTATTCACCTACCAAATTTTTCAAAACATTATTACCATAAAGATATTCATCTAACCAATCAATCTCAGTTATTCATGTCGTTGAGTTTTGTATTTATTGAAGATCATTCTGCTAAAATACTTCAATCATGACATTGATTTTCTTTACTCTTATATAAGAATCAATTGACAAAGAAGTATTATTAATTCAACAACTCAAATGGATGATGAAAGTTCAGGAACTTTAAACAAAAGAATATATATATTTACAAATACATACAACAACTTCTTACCAAAAATGAAAGAACATGATTAATGTCATTATTACAAAATACGTTCGATAAAATATGTTGATAAAGAAAGGCTAAAGAAAAAGGTTTCGACGTATTATATGTGTGGTATTATCAACAGATTGCTTCAAAAGGTGAAATTAAGTTTTTTATATAAACATTTATACAGTCGGGTTAATGTATTTAAAGAATCGAGTGAATTTGCTGAGGATACACCAACATCTTTACCTCTTTGTATTTATTTCATTACAAATATCTTCTGTTTCGTACCATACCATAATTAGAAGCTTTGATTTGTATCTATAGACAATTTATTTTTTTTATTTTATTTGGTGAGTCGAAATAATTCATAGGATTTATATTCATTTGAAATGGTTGGAGGCGCAGTTATTCCACCATCTTCATCCAATCGCAAGTATCTCAAAGGTCGTCAGCTTATTTTTCCTTTGGGTCTAGCCAGTTCACTGTTCTTTCTTTGGGGTTTCTCATATGGTCTTCTCGATGTCTTAAATAAGCATTTTCAAAATGTGCTCAAAATTACAAAGCTTGAATCTACTGGATTACAAATTGTTTATTTTGGTGGTGGTTACTTTTGCTTCTCACCGATCGCTGCCGAATTGCTTAAACGTAAAGGTTACAAGATTACAATTATCACAGGTTTGGTACTGTTCGCCTTAGGTGCTATTTTTTTCTGGCCAACTGCTCATTTTTCTAATCCAACTAAAGGGAAACAAGCTTTTGGAGGGTTTATCGTTTGCACGTTTGTCATTTCTTGTGGTCTTGGTACACTAGAAACTGCAGCGAACTCGTACACTGCAATGATTGGTGATCCACAATCGGCTGCTATTCGTTTACAATTTTGTGCATCATGGAATGGGGTAGCATCATTTATCGGTCCACTCATTGCCTCTAAACTCTTCTTCTCAGGTGAACATGCTACTAATCTTGGTAACGTCAAATACGTCTATATAGCTGTTGCCTGTAGTGCAGCGTTACTAGCTATTGGTTTTTTCTTCTCGAAATTACCTGAAGTCGTTACAGACGATGAAGATTCTACTGACGTCACGGATCAAGCCAATAGTCAAATTAAACCATTGTGGAAACAATATAACATGATTTTTGGATTCCTAGCACAATTTTGCTATGTTGGCGCTCAGGTAATAAAATATGTCTAAGAGATGCGAATATCAAGATACATGTTAGTATCGAAGCTCAACCGAATAGATCTATTGTATATTCATGTGTTGAAAACAATATTATTATTTAGGTCACAATTGCCTCCTTTTTTATCAACTATGCTACTGAAAATGCTGATTTTACGGATTCTCAAGCATCAAAACTTTTATCCTATGCTCTCATTACATTCACTGTTAGTCGCTTTATTGGTATTATACTATCTCATTTCTTTCAAGCTGATTTGATTCTCCTCATATATTCTGTAATTAGTATTGTCCTTACAATTTACGTATCTGTTGGTTATGGTCGTTCTGCTGTCATTCTTCTTATGTCAATATATTTCTTTGAATCACTTATGTTTCCAACTATTTTTGCAATGGGAACAGCTAATCTCGGCCGCCATGCGCGTCGTGGAGCTGGTATTCTTATTATGGGAGTCTCCGGTGGTGCTGTCTTTCCTCCAATTCAGGGTGTAATAGCTGATGCACATTCTACTCGTATCTCGTTTCTGGTGCCAATGATTGGCTTTATTGTTGTCTTAGCTTATGCACTCTTTCATTGGATCAAACATGGCTTCAAAGTGAGATGTGTGCGTTCAACTGTCGATAACATCATGGAAGTTCAGCCTAAATTATCACATGTATCGCAACCTACAGATATAGTAAATCATATTTCGAGATCAACACCGATTCCTCCAGCACCTAAAACATATGTTAGAGAAAATACGAATGGAACTGTTATTACAACAGAGTATCTGTAAAAGTGGCTATATCCCAGCTAGGACTTGCAACGGAAAAATGGTATTAAAATAGCACAAAACTGTAATAAAAATAATGATGTAAAACTGTCACAAAAATGCCTGAAAATGGTTAAAAAAGATAACGAAATAATGTTAACAACACAAATCATTTTTTCGCATTATTTCTGACCTATTTTGTTGATAGAAAAATTACCGATAAATTTGAGATAGTTAAATACTATTCGATAAACTTATTTCAATTTTAATTATATTATTACAATTCAAGTGACGCTTCTTTCTTCTTCAAAGATGATCTTTTCAATGTTTCATAAAAATTGTATAAATAAATTAATCATGAAAACAAAATAAAATGGAAGAAAAATAAAACAGGCGATATATTTCTTTTAGTCTAATTTTATAGCCGTACGGAAAAGAATCGCGCCTACCTGGTCGGTATTATAACCGTTTTGGCTTCTGTACCACTATGAAATTAGACTAAAAGAAACATATCGCCTGTTTTATTTTTCTTCCATTTTATTTTGTTTTCGTGATTAATTTATTTATACAATTTTTATGAAACATTGAAAAGATCATCTTCGAAGAAGAAAGAAGCGTCACTTAAATTGTAATAAAATAATTAAAATTGAAATAAGTTTGTCGAATAGTATTTAACTACCTCAAATTTATTATTTCTGATCTTTTCGGCAAATTATTTATATTACTCTTTCTCTGTAAGTATCTGTAATATTCACATAAAAGAATAACTTTAATCCTTTTTTAACGAATAAACCGTACTGTAATTTTGTATTTACTTCGATACTCTTAGTATACTATGGCGATTGTGTGGAAGATAAATAGAGCAAAAATTCTAGGAAAGTGATTTAAAATCAGAAAAAGTATTATCAGCTGATCGAAAAGAATAACACAGCTATTTTTCTCACTTTAAATGGAACAACACTGAGAATTAGATCATATATTTAAGTCATATATAGTACGTGTCCATACTTAATGTATACTAACATGTTAGTCATAGAAATTTCCATCTCACTGTTATTTCTACTTAAATAAAAAGAGGATGTGCGTGTGGGTGTGGGTGTGGGCGAAGTGAAAATGAACATCAAAACTCCACACCCAAATCCACCACCACACCCACACACACACTCACTGCCATAGCCACACCCAAACTTCAAGTTTGTCCAAATGCAAAATTTGGTCTTTTAAAATGAAAAAAAAAATAGTGAGTCTTTGAAAGTAAATTGATCCAGTTTCTCAAAAGTTATATAGTGGTAAACATCTGGTGCGTGTATCACGAGCCTAAGATCTCTGTGGGCAAAGATTGTCAATAACTAAACAAATAACACCGACAGTGATTCGACATATGGAATTGTTTGAATTCAGACGACGTGTATTCTGTTGAAACCATTCAGTTGAAAATTTCTTCGAGTCTCTCACATTACATAGCCGAAATACGATGTTCTCGAGATGTTCAAGTCGATTGATTAATTCAATCATAATCTCTTTTGAATCGACGGTAATATCCAGGTGTTCAATATGCGAAAATATCGAACAGAATTGATCAACATCAATCCGTTGATCATCATTGTCCAATTTGCAAGAAACAATTTGTCGAGGTAAAACAAACAATGGATCAATATTTTTTAATGTGAAATGATATAACTGAGGTGTATGATCGAGAAGTGAATGGAGTTCGTTCACCAAAATGGTATGAATATTCGAAACATCGAGTTTTTTTATTCGACGAAGATCAACATAGGACATAAGAGTATTAACCGATGGCAACATAGAACCTAAGAGACGTAACGAGTTCACCTGAGTAAAGCGATGAATGGGTGGTGTTATCGATTCGGAGAATTTGACCACAAGATCGATGTTGCTGGTATAGAAAGAGTGTTGCTTGACTATGGGTGGAGCCGTTGTTAAGGGTGGATAGTTACTTGTATGACATAAAAAAACGTGATTTGGTCGAAATTCAGGCACCGAATAAACATTAAGACCCGAATCGAGTGCCTCTTTGTAACATGCAACAAACCAACGTTTCTGCTCAAGCCAAAAAGGTGAACGAAATGAAGCAAGTAATGAATTTTCATCTTGACTATGAATAATGCTTCTTGAGAAATTGTATTTGAATCTGAAATTGAATTTGACAATTCTGGTTTTGAGGATGAGTTGTTCCCATCGAGTACCGTCCATTAGATCTCTCATATCTTTTACTCTTGCAACAACTGTAAAATGTGTCAATCGTTCTAATTCGATTAGACACCGTTCAACTGAATTAAATGAAACCAGATGAACTACAATCGAAGAGAATAAAAGAAAAATTTCACTCGACAAATGTGTTTTTACCTTCATGAAATATGAGTGTCAAATGTGTGAGGCAACAAGATAGTTTCTCAAAATTGGGCACCATAGTTTCATTCGTATGATTGTCACCCACGATAATATGAAGATGAGTAATCGAGGCTTCGAGACGTTCAATGACCTGATACAATTTGGAGAAGGAGTGACAGCCAGTAGTTAAATGAGTCAATTCATGAAACGGAGTGTCTATTAATTGAAGTATATCGACTTGAGCGACACTTAAATGAGTCAACAAAGTGGCTTGTCGACTACATATTTGACTGATGAGACCGTTGGCGGTGCGTGTACATCTTTTGAATGAGAGAGATGAGACGGAAATTGGTAAATCGAACAAAACAGTGTCGACATCAATAAAAATTAGAGTTTGGAGATGAGTAAACTGATTTTTGAAATTTGGAAAATAATTGATAAAACGTTGAACTTGATCAGATGTTTCCTCATCGGAAAGAATGAGTGCAATTACTTGTTTAGGCTGAAGATGACGACAAATGAAATCAAACTTGAATCGGGAGACAGATTGGAAGTCAAGTCGAAGTGGATATGAGCCAAGAATATCATTTAGACGATGATTAAGACCAATAAAAGCATGCATTAGATCCCAAGGTAGCAAAAACTGGAATATTTCATAGAAGAGCTCTGTCGAGAAGAACTCAAGACACGAACTCATTTTTGTTTCGAAGAAATGAGTTTATCTTTTGTGAGTAGTTTGTGTCCTTGTGCAATTTTTATTAACTACTGGTACAGACACAACAGAAAGTATAATACGGCACAACGATCTTAGTATCTATTTGATTGGTCGACTTGTGCGAACCTATAAAGAATGCTCTATAGATGGTGCACATAAACGAATACGCCAACGCAGGAGATTCTCTGTTCTCTCTATCTTGTTCTTTTTTGAGTATGAGTGTGTGGGTGTGTGGGGTGTGAATGATGAGAACACTCGCACCCACACTCATACCCTCGCTTCGAGCGGTTCTCTCGTTAATGTCAAGGTCTGAATAAGGAAAACACTGATTTGACTTATACTGTCAAACTACAATCTTACAGTGCTATGCTATAATAATCTACAGATTAATAAAATAGTATTATAAATAATTTTTCAGAGGCTTATTAATATATGCAGGACACGATTATTTGAGTCAAGTGTTTCTTTTCACAGTACAAATCACTAATATGTAGATCGATTAAATATTTCAAATCTGTCTGAGGAACTGTTTTCGTAAAATAAAGTTTCGCAAGAAAAGCTCTTTTAAAATCTATGGCTTTTGGAGCTTTTCGTAAAGCATTGATTAATAATAGAGCGTTCAGTATTTCTTCATTTGGTTACATTTACTGTGATGTCGGCCATGGCTTAAGTGCAACGACTGCTCATATAGTGTATTTCAGGCAGTTTCATATTTACGTATGTAAGAAGGTAAAATTTGTGGCATACTTTTTCTTTCGTCTCAGGTAGTGATCATGATTTCTTTCATAAACCATTTCTCTTTGTCATTAAAAATAACAATATCATGTTGAATATTATCAACAGCAGTTACTTAATAATGCCACTGAAAATGTTTATTTTTCTTTCTTTCTGTTTCATGTCATCCGATCTATTAACTTCTTAAAAAAAGACAAATAATACCAGATGGAGAAACAACAAAACTTAATTCATTTCCATCCCATTAGAAGGTAAATAGAGGTAAGAAATAACGAATTTGCAATTGAAAACATCATAGATAAGATCCAGCAATCTTAAGAAATTAGGAACGATGGTTTAGAAACGATACATATAAATAAAATCTGTCCATACCGCGAAAACCATGCGGATGCTTTGTTTCGCTTGAAAAAGTGACATTGTATAGATACAATAGCAGTCATGACACTTCTAATGCATCTTTTATACTGATTCTTTTAGAGGTTTATCTTCTAGTTCGGGGAGTGATTAGTAATAATGTATCATTCTCTATTAATTTGTCTAGTCAAAAAAATCAAATTTCATTTCTCATTTTCCGGCATCCAGGATGCCTCACTACTACCGAGTTCACAGTCTTCTAACTCGAGCCGTACCTCCTGTACTCTTAATGAAGTCGTCTAATCCGAACCACACAGCCACTTCGACAATGTGAAACACTTTTTTTTCTCGATTATTTGCAATGGATTATTTTCTTTGATCATTTAATTATTATCAACATGTTATTTTTCTTTATTTATAGATAGTCAATGCGAAAGAAAGTTATTGGTGATGTCGCTATAGCTTCAGTTGTTATCGTAGTAATTGTTGTTGCAGTATGTTCCTGCTGTATTACTTATACGAAAACAAGATAATGCGACATCTATTAGTTTGCGATAGTTAAAAGATGAATATAGTGTGCTCAAAGATAGAACTTTCTCAAAAACTCTAATCGATATAAATTAAAATCACTCAGAAAAAGTTTTAAGTAATGAACTATATGATTAAGAAATATTTGTATAGTATCTTTGATTTAGACACAACAACATCAATAGATACTGAAGCCTCTACAGTTGTTTCTGTTCATTGGTCTCTTGATGCTGTAACGCCAGATTCATCAAACACCTACAATAGAATATTAATGAATAGTGCATCGTATTTTTCAACAGCCAACAATCAAACTTTTGTTGCTTATGGCCAAGAACTTCGTTTATCATCATCATCATCATCAAGTCAATATATGAAAGTTTCAAGTCCATTTGTTAATCTTACCTATAGAAATTTTACAATAGACACATGGATTGTTTTCAACAACAGTTTATTCTGGTGATTATGGTATATTTGGTCAATGTCCATGTACGACATATTCTAATCAATGTTTATATTTTCTTGTTCGAGGAAGTCATTTATTTGCTGGTTTTACACACAATGATATAAGTGGTTCATAAAATTTAACTAATAATCTTTGATATTATGTTACTTTTGTTTATAATTATGATACAAAACAATAAATCTTGTATGTTTTAATGGAATACAAGATACAATTAAATCAGATGCTAATCATATCAAGGAACTAATGGATCAATTGATATTGGTTCAACATTTATTTTTTTAAATAAGAAATTATTTTAATGGTTATATTGATAATGTACAAATAACTATACATGCAAAAACTTCTGATGAAATTCTTACTACTGCTACATTAGCTGGTTGTTTTTCATTTGATGTACGTTCTCCATATAATGGTAATGGTCCAAATAGTTTTTATGGAACACAAAATAATACAATTATAGCTTCTGGTTATGTCAATTAAGCAATACGCTTTACGGGTTCATCGTCTTATTTTTATTCGTACGGTTTTTTTCAAGTTGATTATGGAGTTTATGCAAGTAAATCATTTTCAATTTCTTTATAGATCAATCCAACAGCACTTACTGCTTCTACTATAGTTCAATGTTCTTATTCTTTAACAAGTTATCGATATCATAATCTTATTGAAATTTTTTTGAAATTATGATACAACAGGACAAACTATTGCTCAAGGATTGTCTTGGCCAATTATAGTCGGTCCATACATTATTAGAAATACTTGGACACATATTTCAGTGATATATAGTTTCACAAATAGACTTTCTTTATATGTTAATGGAATCTACTTTGGTCATACTGGTAGTTTTACATTTTCTAGTTCTGGTTAAATAACATATTTACAATTGGGATATACGTATGTATGCTTGCTCATCAAATAGTATTTCAAATAATGGTTATCAAGGCTTAGTAGATGAAGTGTATGTGCATAGTTGTGAACTTACACAAGCTGATGTTACAGCACTTGCTAATCCATAAAAATGAATGCAAACAGAAAAAGAATCTAGTATAATAGACAATCGTATATCTCTTTTGTGAACAGGTGACTTTTTGATTTCATTTTTAATTTATACATGTTCTTCGTTATTGAAATCTCTTAGATTGTTTGAAGACAGAAAAGATTGACAAAATTATTAGATTTGATCTATTGACTATGTCTAAAAAATGATTACTACATAGTTATATGTTGCTTTTTTTTGTTTCATTTCATTTTTAATTAATATAACATGAGAGTATTATATATATATATATAATAATTGTCAAACATGATGAAAATGGAACACGACATCCTCCTTATCATTTTACGTACAGTTGCACTTCGTTTATTTTGTACACGAAACATAAAAAGCTAACAGAGTATAGTTTCGTTTTTTGGATCGTCAAAAACCGTATTTTTTTCTCATAATCTTGTCTTGGAGATAGCTATTAATGATAATTTGAATTGATGTCATACCTACATGTGAGATCTATAGATGTTGGATTGTCTTGAATTTATGACTGTTCTCTTGAAATCGCAGATTATGCTTTTTAAAATAGTAAACAAAGTCCTCATGTATCTAGCTTTGCTCAATATATTGTATCGCAGGTAGAAAAGCATGCTGACGATTAAAAACATTCTAGTCCATGAAAACTAACTGAGAACTTAGTTTGTAGTTATTTTTGTTCAATACAGTTTTGTTTTCAAACAAACATATGTCTAGTTTAAACTACGACGTATAGCTGTCGCATTTTTACCGTTACTATCTTTGTAAAAGAACGCAAACGAAAAAAAAATTGCTTGTTCTGTAGACATCAAGTCATTACGCAAGAACGTCATATGTGTTATTTCGTAACATTGTAAAAAGAAATATTGAAATTTTGACGTTGCATAACTTTTGCGTTTATATTATTTGACAACAGTAGTAATTTTTATTATATATTACCGTTTTAGAAGCCTCTCATTATAGTAACTTCAAAAAGTAATAATTTATGAATTTAGAATCTTTCTCCAATGAATTATTACTTGATCTATTTGAATATTTTTCTGCTGTTGATCTTCTTCGAACATTTTATAATCTTAATTTTCGATTTAATAATTTAATTATGATTCATTTTCAACATTTTGATCTTAATTTTCGATCAGTATCTCAATATGATTTTAATCTTATATGTTGTCAATATCTTCCAATTATAGTCAATGACATAAATTCTTTAAGTCTTTCAAATGATGATGATACTCCACAACAAATTGATCTTTTTCTTGAACATGGTTTAATTATTTCTCAATTTATTAATTTAAAATCATTATCATTATGTGATCTTTGTTCTAATGAAATAATGAATAAAATGATGTTAGAATGGAAATATCTTGTAAATTTAACTCATTTAACTCTTGCTGGTTGTTATCTTCAATTTGATCAAATTAATGCTCAACAATTAATTGATAGTATTTGGAGTTTATCTAAATTGATCTATTGTTATTTAAATATTAATTTTAATGAAAATAATATTTTTGTACCAACAGTTATATCTTCATCATTAAAATATGTATTTATTTGGGGTATTGAACATTATCAAAATAAAATCAATGCTTTATTGAAACAGACACCATGTCTAGAAAATTTTTCTATTCTACTCAATTTTGATTCAAATGATGATGATGATGATATAGAATATCCATTTTTAACAATTACGAAATTAAAACTTTGTTTATCACGAGTACAAGAAGATAGAATTATAAAATTCTTACAAAATATACCAAATTTATATCATTTGATTATTGATATATGTTCCAATGATGAAGATTATACAAATACGATTTTAAATGGTTATCAATGGGAAAAAATTATTCGTAATTATTTATCTAATCTTCAAATCTTTCAATTTCGAATAGAATTTCAATTAATTAATGAAAATAATCGTGAACAACAAATAGATGAACTAATTCATTCATTTCAAACTCCATTTTGGCTTATAGAACATAATTGGTATGCTCAATGTCATTGGAATTCAACGAATAGTTCAAATTCAATGTATTTATATACATTACCATATAGTTTTAATTTTTTTAAATTTAATTCTTCAATGAAATTTAAATCAACATTTTCAAATAATAATAATAATAATTATATAGATCATTATAATCATGTACATGATCTTGAATATAAAATATCATCAAATGATGAAATAGTTTCATCTTCTATTCAATTTTTTAATCTTGAAAATTTATTTTTAAAATTTCCTATTACGAGTCATTTTTGGTCTGTAATACCAAAATTAAATCAATTAACATCAATTGTTATTTCAATAAATGATGAGAATAATATTCAATCTCAATTACAAATTTTACTTGATCATACACCTTATTTGTATTCATTAAGTTTTACATCATGTCTTTTACAAATGCCACCACTTGAACTTCGAAATAGATCGATACGTCGACTTGATTTACGAGGATATAATCAATATTTTAATAATGAACAATGTATTTTATTAAGTCAGTCATTATTAGGTATTCAATGTGAAATTCTTTTTATTAAAATAAAAAATTATCAAATATTACTTGATATGTTAAATAATATGATTAATCTTCGTACTTTAATTATTCAATGTGAAAATGATCAATTCAATGAAACAAACAATGATGAACTTATTATTTGGTTAAAAGATCATTTACCATCAACATGTATTATTAGTAGAGATTTAATTTTTCATTCTGATATTCGAATATGGATTCGTTAATAGAATTTAAAAAAAGATAGAGAGCTGAGATTTTCACCATTGGAAAAAGAATCCCAAGACGCATCGAACTGTGTATTATAGAATAATGTGATCTAATTTTCTCAAAGGCTTAAATCAATGTTTTTTAAAATCAATATACTCCTTAAGATGACTAAGGCCAATTTCCCATAATCAGATGCTCATTCGAACCGATAAATGAAGATCTACAAAACTGCACAAGATCCAGACTTTTAGATTTAGTTGTTCAGGAGTTATAGGTATTTTATTCGAAACTCTTACGAGGAAACCTTCCCAAGTGTTAATCGTTGATCGAGCTCATATTTTGCCCCATAACTAAGACTCTATGAGATTAGCAGAAGCTCGGAAAGATTCGTCCTCATACGTTGTTCTTCGGGAATTACGACCGTTTTACTGGTTTTTCGACCTCTGGCAATGATACTTATAGTGAAGTTCATGAATGAAATTTTGATCTGAAATTTTCTTCGTAAACAGATCTCATGGTCACTAGAATGTCCTAAAAGTTTCAGCTAAAATGAACGTTTCTTTCTCAAGATATTGAATTTTCAAGGAACGATCATATATCAAAGGCAAAGGTCAAAAAATCGAGCTTCTTGAAAATTCAATATCATGAGAAAGAAACGTTCATTTTAGCTGAAACTTTTAGGACATTCTAGTGACCATGAGATCTGTTTATGGACAAAATTTCAGGTCAAAATTTCATTGTTAGGCTTCACTATAAATACCATTGCCAGAGATCGAAAAACCAGTAAAATGGGTCTTAGTTATGGACAAAATATGAGCTCGATCAACGATTAACACTTGGAAAGGTTCTTTCGTTAGTCGATTTTTCTACTAATTTCTGTGAAGAAAATTACTTTTTTTTTGCATTTTTTCTATCAATTTTCCAACATTCTTTTCAGAGAATTTATTGAGAAAACATTTTAGAGAAGTCTACAATATACCATTCGATGCATCTTTATCTCCTCTGTCCAACGATGAAAACCGTAGCTCTCTATCCTGCTTCTATCAAAAAAATATCCATCTGCCTTTTCTTTTTAAAATGGCCACTAGTATTATAAAAGAGAAAATTAAACAATATATATATGTTTCAGGTTTATGAATTTCTACCTATTAATTACACTTATATTTCAACATCCTTGTTAGATTGTGTTTTTACAAAGTTTATCTAATTCTTTCAATTTATAATTATTATTGATAGATAATAAAAAGAAACTATTCTATATTTAATAAATAATTTTCAATTATTTTTTTGTTTTTAATCAAAATGCACACTTTTATAAGATTTATTACAATGATAATAAGTTATATATTTCATTGATGTATAATGATTAAAGACATTACAGTTAACTATTCATTTTTCTTTGTTACAACGTAGAAAAAAAAATGTCACAGAATGAAAACTATTATGATCTTAAAGCTTTATATCGAGTTAAGCACGTCTTAGTATTAAAAAAATGTTCTCATCATGAACATGTTAAACTCTATCAATTAGAGAAAGTTCAACAAACATTTTCTTTTTTTTTCTTTTTTTGTGTATGATAGTCAGACGTATAGAAAAGTCAATCGATGTCATCATCATTTATTTCATATCTTCTTCAAACAAATCAACAAATAATAACATATGGTGGTATATTAATATTTATTAGTGGTTTAATTGGTGGAATTCTTAATATAATTATTTTTCTTAGTCTTAAAACATTTCGTGAAAGTTCTTGTGCATTTTATTTAACAATTCTTTCTATTGTTAATATTGGTCAATTAATAACAAATTTATTAACACGTATAATGATAACTGGATTTAATATTGATTGGACACGTAATTCATTATTTTATTGTAAATTTCGAACATATGCTTTTCAAGTAACAACAATGATTTCTTTTACATGTATTTGTTTAGCAACTATTGATCAATATTTTGCAACATGTTCTCGTATACGATGGCAACGATGGTGTCATATTAAAATTGCATATCGTATAATTATATTTGCAATTTTTATTGCTATTATTGAACAAAGTCCATGTTTATTTTTATATGAACATATAAAAATTTCAACAACTAATATTATAATATGTACAATTACAAATGAATTTTTTATTCAATTTAATACATATTTTAATTATCTTATTATTGGAAATATTTTACCTTATTTAATAACATTTTCATTTGGATTAATGGCATATCGTAATATAAAAGAAATAAATTATCGAACAGTACCTTTAGTTCGACGTGAATTAGATAAACAATTAACAACTATGGTTCTTATACAAGTTATTTATACATTTTTTTCAATATTACCAAGTATGATTATATATTTAATTCTTGCCTATGGAAATATTCAAGATTTAGTTCTTATTGCACAATTACGTCTTATTTATGCTATAATGACATGTTTATATTATAGTTATTTTGCTGTAAGTATCATTTCAAAATAGAATTTTTTTCTTTAATTGATAAATTTTTCTTTAGAGTCCATTCTATATCTATGTATGTGCTTCGGAAAGATTTCGTCGACAATTAATTCATGTTATTTCGAAAATTCATTTAAAAAGATTTCAAGCACGAATTGCAACTGTTAATCAAGTGATTCCTCATATTTAAGAAGTAATAGTTATGATTAAACAAAAATCTTTTTATGTCGAATAAATTGACTTTATGAAAATACAATCTGCTATAATTATATCTTACGAGGGAACGTTTTCAACTGTCAAATCACTTTTGAGTTCAGACTCTGTGCATAAAGTAGACCCCGTGGGGGGTATGAAAAACCCCAAAAGGATAAGTGCTTTTAGACCTTCTGCCCAAAGTTATAGGCATTTTACTGCAATTTTAGCCTATGGCATGGTACATGCCAAAAAATCGAATAGCGGTATTTCAAACTGAGATTTAGTTCACAGACAGGCCTATTGCTGAGCAAAATGTTCTGAAAATTTCAATTGGAAAAAATATTTCCTTCCCGAAATATTGGAGTCCCAAGAATCACTCATATCCTATATGAAAGATAATAAAATATTCTGTTTTTTAAACTCTAATATCTTGGTAAGGAAACATTTTTTTCCAGCTAAAATTTTCAGGACATTTGGCTCAGCAATAGGTCTGTCTGTGGACTAAATCTCAGCATAATAATGAAAGACAAACTTAAGTCATATTAAAACTCTTATCAGCATACTCACAAATATAAATTATAGGCTGATATTGATGAATTAATTGTAAATGTCTTGAAATTTAAAAATGATGATCCAGAAACATCAATAAAAGCCTAGATTTTAAATGTATTAGTTTTCTAATGAGATTATTAATTGAACTTTTATATATTTAATCTTATTAAGTTCTATCTCACAATAAACATATTGTGAGATAGTTCATAAAAGATTACAAATGTGAACTATCATATAAGATCTTCTAAATTACAATAATGAAGTCAATTACTTTGTTGTTTGTTCGTGTTAAATTTCTTATATATTGTCTTTGATGAGATATACTTGTCGTCTTTGTTGTTATTTATTTTGTTTCAAACAATATAATAAAAATAAAAATAGGTTCTTTTTATGTATGATTATCATTAAAGAACGAAGCAATTTCAAAGAAGAGAGTGGGTGAAAAACATCACGTTGAAGTGTGCCTTTTGATATCCCATCACGTTTGTATAATTATAGTTTGTTCAATATGTTTCTCAATCTATCCGTTTATTTATGATTTATACGTTCCGTTCAAAGAAAAATCAGGATTCAATTTTCCAAAATTGTCATTTTTGATTTATTTTATCAGTGAACATTAATCTTTGTACTTGATGGTTTTGGTTATCATTAATTATTTTTCTTCATAATAAACTCATCATCAACATTACATCTCTTTAGATCTTATCATGATTAGAAAGTTAAATACGTTGCTAATTGAAAACGACGAGACAATCTTATATTTTGGTTCATACACTCTATAATGATAGACTTATTTAACTTTGAAGATCGAAGAAAAAATTGAATTTCTAGTTCGAAAATCAGTCCTTCAACGAAACTTGACAAGTTAATTCAGAATATTGGAATTTATTGACATGTGGTCAATTTTTTGTTGATATTTTCTAATTTGCTATTTTTTTTGTTCTTTTTTCTGTCAAATTTTTTCGTATCTATGTGAAAAAAAGTGGTTGAAAAGTTATTTTTATTTAAAAAAACCGATTATACCGCAAATAGTTGAATTTTTTAGTGCATATGTTCCAGGTAAATTTGAATTTCAAGCAAAATTGGGGTTTTTTGGCGCTTCTATCAAATTCAATTTTGACTAGCCAGAAATCGTTCTCTGTTCGTGATTATTTTATTTCATCTAACTACCAATTTCTTTCATTTTCATAAACAAAGCTCATCGAGTGTTAAATAGATTTCGATATTTTCTTTTGCAATATCGTCAATGACATTACAACAGTCAACTTATTCTCGTTCTATTATCAATGATTTTGCACGTGAAAAATTTTATGAACTTGCTAAAAAACAGATTGATGCGTTAAATCCTAAATTTCGTAATAAAGCTGTTATCACTGGTGTTCAAAGCAAAAAAAAAATCAACGTACTTCAGAACAGGCTATCTATCAAAAAGGTTTCCGGTCGTTTTTCTCACTGATGCAAACAAACGTTCGCGCTTCGTTTTATGGCTGGTCATCAACTTTTATGTGATTCTAAAGAAGTTATACCTGTTCTTTTATACGAAGACATATACAATGTTCATCAGACAAGCCACAGCGTGTCGTAGAAAATTTCCTTTCTTTTAGACAGTCACCACATCTCAACCGGTTCTTCTTTAGAATACACCCACTCTATGCACACATTGGTTGGCACGACAACGAGTGTGGGTGAAGGGGTGTTTGCATTCTGAAGAAATATCTCTCAACCCATTTTTTCATCGGTTGCTCGGGAAACCTTCGAGTCTTTTAGACAATCATCCCACGTCGATCCATTTTCATCAAAGCAGGGCACACAGGTACTGTATA